GCTTTCACTGGAAAAATCTGTGTCCTGCTGTTTCTCCCTGCCCCAGCTCATGTAGCTAAGAACAGAAGGTATGCGATCACTAATAAAAAAAAGGAAAAAAATGTATATAATGTTTTTTTTTTATATCTATACACAAATTTTGCCTTTCATTTCTATTGTAAATTGAATGGGTTGTTTTAAAGGGTGAGGGTTTACAATCTCTTTGATGTTTTCCTTGCATTAAAGTGGAATTCCAGTTAAAAAATCAAATTTTGCCCTTAGATTGTGTAAAAAAAAAAGTTTTGTATTATGCATTATAATAATCGCTGATTTTCTAGATTAGAAAAAACAAACAGCTGTCTCTGGAGCTTTACTGACAACATTGTGCCTGTGCGGCCAAATATAGCTGCACACAGACACTTCCCTACACTGTTGTCAGTGTCTGTGTAATCATTACAGCACAATTTTGATTATCCACTCCCCACCTCACCTGGCACCACCCACATCTCACCCAGCTATCAGCACCATCGACAGGAATGGGCTATCCTATCCTCCTCCAGCTAGGTGCATCATTTCTGGCAATTACGCCACTAGGAACCAGTGAACACACCAAACAGCCACTCTGCTTGAAAAAAGCAGGTAAGTTTTGCGGTGACGGGAGCAATTTTAAAGAAAAAAAGTAGAAAAAAAATCTCTTTAGAATTTTAAACATAACACTGTAATATTATTGAGGTGTATGATTGTAGGAAGGTGAAATAAGGCAAGCTTCCACTTAAAATGGTTCTAAACCCTTACTTATACGCAGTGAAGTGGCTGGCCTCAGGTGATACACATAGATTAAATAAATCCTCATACGTATATTGAACCTGTTTATCTGCAGTCTTCTCTTCTCTAAATCCATTCAAAGTTCAGAATTTATAAAGCTTATCTGAGGTTTTAGAAAAAAGGGGTGGGGGATGCTGAAATTACACACTGCAGAGCTTGGTGAGGAGAGCTCTGACAGCTGATTGAAAGGAAGGGACACACGCCTTAAAGCGGAGTTCCACCTGGGAAAAAAAAGTGCGCAGCTACAATAACTGTAGATGACCATGTTATACAGACAATTACCTCAACCATTATAGTGTTTATTCTGGATATCGCAGAGTTTCCTCTATCTCTGTACAAAAAGGAGGTGGTGGCAGTGTGAAGGGTTAATTGCGTAATTAACCTGACCCAGTAACAATCGCTCAGGCTGCCAGTACATTGATTGTGGTCCAATTAGCTGGAAAATCGTTGTGCAGGTGCAGCTGGGTGGGCATTGTTACGCACGTGACAGCGCGCTTTTAGATTGGCTAGTCCTTCGGTCACGAGTTTGGTGAGAAGGGCTGGGGTCTGACACCGCGGTTGTCACATATTGGTAATAGCGATCGTGGGATCGTTGCATATTGGTGGCAGCGATCCCGCATCCGTCACAGATTGGTGGCAGTGGTGGGATAGTTGCATTAAGAGCTTCAGTGCAGTGTTAAAAAATTGGCTCTGCACTGAAGGATTGTAACCTTTGTGGAAACAGTCCTTAGAAACAAGCAGTGCATATTTTATATATATATATATATATATAGAGAGAGAGAGAGAGACATATAGCAACAGCTCCTTCTTTTTTCTGCTTCCTATTGTATCTTTGCTTGCAATTATGCCTGGTGACGCAGAATACAAGAAAATGAGCAAAAGTGATTTGAGTGCGGAATGTGCCTCACGGGGAATGGATGTCGGTCGCAAAACCCGTGATGATTTGATTCGGGATCTACAGGAGCATGATAGCCGAGTAGATAAGAACTCGGGGGAACTTGTGCATGACGGGGTTCCCGCTACCTACATTCCCAGTGGCTCAGAGATTGCCTTGCAGGATGGGCATACAGAGACTGACACTGGAGGATCACTGAATGGTATCGTCACACACCACCGCCTGAGCGGGCCAGCACCAGAGTGCCTGTAGCCAGCAGAGACTCTCCTCAGATGCAGGAAGCCCTGAAATGCCTCATGGAGACAGATCTTGAGGCATACTGCGGTTCTTTGAACGCCAGGCTGACATAGAAACTGCAGAACGCCAAGCAGCGGCTGACAGAGAAACTGCGGAACGCCAAGCAGCGGCGGACAGAGCGGAATGTCAGGCTGACCGAGAGGGGGCGCAGAGGGAAGCTGATGGGCGGCATGAGCTGGAGATGGCGAGACTGCAGCAGCAGCAACAGAGCCAGAACCTTGGGTCCTTAGAGCACAGGAATGCCTCTCTGGCCATGGGCGCAGCCAAGTTTCCAGTGATGGAAAAGATAGTGACATTGACACTTACTTACTGTCATTTGAAAAAACGTTCTGTCAGTACCATGTGCCCCCAACTCAACAGGCTAGGTACCTGACACCAGGGCTACGAGGCAAGGCCCTGGATGCGTTTGTTGAAATGCCAGAGGGGCAGGACAATGAATTATGAAGCTTTAAAAGATACCATCATCCGGAAGTACCAGATGACCCCGGAAGTGTACTGCAAGCGGTTCAGGTCCATGCAGAAGGGACCTGGGGACTCTTACGCTGATGTGGCGAGTCGCTTACGCACCACATTCTGACAGTGGACTAAGGGACTGAAAGCTGACTCCTACGAGTCTTTGGAAGATCTCATGATACGAGATCAACCTCTGCACATCTGCCCGGCCGACGTCAGACAGTTTGTCTTGGAGAGAGAGCCAGCATCTACTAAAGCTGCAGCCAATTTGGCAGATACCTTCGTCCACACGCGAGTGTCTGACCATTGCAAGGCTCCTCTGAACGGCTGGAAAGGAGGGAAATTGCCCCTAGCAACCCCTCCTACATCGGTGAGTCAAGCTTCTCCTTCGCCCACACCTGCAGTGCCTGGGGCCAAGCCATCCCTGCCTGACAAACGCAGATGTTTCACCTGTGGGAAAGCCGGACATCTCAGGACGCAGTGTCCTGAGCAGAAGCAGATGACATCATCTGGCCAGCCGGTCAGCAACTCTTCTTCCGTGCTGTTCGTCCACAGAAAGATGTGGGTAACCCCCGTCAACTTGCAGCCAGTCACTGTGGGCAACAGGTCTGTAACTGGTTTCCGGGACACCGGGGCAGAAGTCACCTTGATCCGGCCAGAGGTGATTGAGCAAAGGAACCTCATCCCAGGAAAGTTCCTTACCCTCACAGGAGTTGGGGGGATCCGTTTACGCATACCCTGTGCCAAGGTATTCATAGATTGGGGTGCGGGAAGGGGGATGAGGGAGGTGGGGGCCTCGGATGAAATTCCCACACCTGTTTTGTTGGGTGCTGATCTAGGCACTCTTGTTTCTTATTATGCCCCTGCCGAGAATACCCGGAAGGGCCCCCTGGAACTCTCTGGACCTGCCAAGGTACTGTGTGCAGATGTTGGGATAATGTCTGGGCAACCTGTGGATGGACAGAGGGAGGGGGCTGGGAATGGAGTGGGGCTACAGGATGCTCCATTAGCTGGAGAACGAGAAGAAATCCCCTTGCCTGGGGAAGTATCAAACTCATGTGTCATTGATATTATAAATGTGACTGTTGATAATGATAATGATGATGATGAGGATGATAATGTCAGTAATGTTGATGAGAATGTTGGTAATGCTAATGACGGTTATATGATATTCATGATGAAACAAATGATGCATTTTCATTGTTGGGGGTCACCCACAGTGCTGTTAGTGAAGGGGGCAGAGGTACAATCTCTGGGGGGCTGAGCAAAGGGATGGTCTGGATAGGCCTGTCCCTTACCCAAGCTCAGAAGATTATGCCTTGATAAGTGCCCAGGGCCGTTGGCCTTGCATGGTACTGGGCAGCCGGCTGGGACTTGTAGTTCCACGCATAAGGCAGCACTGAAAAGCAATCCACAAAGGAACTTCAGAGGTCAGCTAGCTGAGGGCTTCCCTGCTGAGGAGGGTAAACAACAGCTGGGCTAATACTTGTAGTCCCACATGCAGGCAATCCCTTCACACAGAGATTTCAGCCTCTGGCTAGATGTGAACTTCCCTGCTGGGAAGAGTAAACAAAGGCCTGACAGGAAGAATGGCCTATCAGCAGGGGACTGGAAGCCTGAAAGCATGTCATCTGATCTGAGCTGTCATGGTGTGTCATCAGGCAGACAAACATGTGTCCTAGGCAGTGACAGCACACCTGGATTGGAAATGAGAGGGATCTCCTTAGAGGGGGTCGTTGGATCTCAGAGAGGGAGCTGCGGCCTCAGCTCCAATCACCTCTCCTTTCCATTCAGGTACAGGAGCTGCTGGCAATGCCCTATGATCGATGGTGTCTGGGTTCTGGAAAACCCGAGGAGAGCTCACCGTGCGGTTCAGGAGTTATACGGCAGAATGCATGCCTCCCTCCTGCTTTCTGCCAACCTCACCTCCCAGGAGGTGCAGACTGAATGGGCCAAAGAGACAGAGGTAATGGCGCACTCAGGAATCCAGGGGTCAGCTCGAGTCTGGGCATCCCCAAACCGGATCAGATGACCAGGCTTTTTGAGACCTTGGAAAACTGAGCACCAGCCCTGTGGGTGTGGCACACCCCATGCTCGGGGGCCATGAGGTAATGAAGCATCCGGAAGGTGCCCGCTGTTTAACCATCAAGGACCTGAGCAGGGCAGGGGGTATGGGCCACCATCTCTAACCCAGGAGGCTCAGGACAAGCCAGCCTTCACTACCCCCATGTGGGCTTGCCTGAATCCACGGGAGAGCTAGTTGGGGTTGAGAATGCATCAACCGCCTCTCCAGGGGTCAGGAATGACCTGCAATATGGAGTGGAACTGGGTGCAGTTGCCCACTTTAGAGCAACTTGGGCCCCTGTCACTAGTCAGGAACAACCTGCCTGCGCCTAGTCTGACAGTCGAGAAGGGTAACTGTCAGAGGGGCATGTCAGTAGTTCAGCTTTGGAAAGCACCGGTAGGAAGAGACCCCCAGAGGTTTGTGCATGGGGAGACTGAGGCAGTTGTGGCCTGGTCTGCTCCCCAGGCCAAAAAGCAGGCTACGTCAGTCGTGGATGCAGCTGGCTACGGTATGCAACTACGTGGCTGGATGCAACTATCATGGCTCAGCTGGACCTGTGACTGACCTAGCAGACAGGAAACTGGAGGAACTGGTGTCCTGAATGCCAGCAGGTAACGAGGACCGTTCATCTTGGATGAAGGTACCTGTGGACACATCTGGGAGGCGAGTTCCAGAATTCGCCTGTCTGGTTCCGATGCACACAGGAGCCACTACCTTTGGGCCAGATGTAGTCCTAGGCCTGAGGAAGAAGATGGTAGAGGGAAATCTCCTTCTATACCTTGCCAAGAAGCTATATATTAATATGTTAGCAGATGACACCCCTGAGCCGAAGTGTTTTGTGAACAGGTGGGCACCCCGGCAGTCGCCACGGTATTCAGATAGCCACAGCCGACTGGTGCTCACCCGTGACCACTCACTTGGTTGGCCCAGCAGTGTTGCTGGGGAGAACAGCTTCCTTTTCAGAAGGAACCTGGGTCTCCCGCAATGCATATCACCCCAAGGTGAACCCCTGGGCACAGTGGCTCTGTGCCCTGGTCAGGCCAGCCCACGGCAGAATGGGTTGCGTCAGGAGAGAAATGCAGTCCCCTCCAATGCAATTACCTGAGGGGGGAGGTGTAACCAGCGTACACACAGTGAAGGACGCAGCCTCCATTTTGTTAAGAGTATCCATGTTATTCCCTCATTCTTCCCCCCCTCCATCTCTGAGAGCACGGTGACATATGGCAGCATGTGCGTGTGTGTGTTAAAAGTGTCACAGGCCAGAGCCAGCAGGGGGGCTATGAGCTATAGGACCGCCAAGGGAGCTGGGGCCTTGCTGTCCAAAGAACCTGTAAAATGTAACACCTCGTATAAGATAAGGCAAGCTTTCCCTGGAGTTCAAAGAACATTACATAGGAATACTCTAATACATAGGAAAGCAGAAAAGTAGATCTCGTGAACCAGGCAGTGTATAATTTCATATTTTATATCTAATCAATCCTCAGACGTGTCTGCATAATAATCTACCCGCGGGGGTGGAATGTCACTTCTGCAGATGGAAAGTTATGGGCCAAAATATGAGTTATGGGAGATTTTGGCTCTAGTAGAGGTATCCGCCCAGGCCTCCATGCCCTAAACGGGGTATTGGTTCTTGACCTGACCCAGTAACAATCGCTCAGGCTGCCAGTACATTGATTGTGGTCCAATTAGCTGGAAAATCGTTGTGCAGGGTGCAGCTGGGTGTGGCATTGTTACGCACGTGACAGCATGGTTTTAGATTGGCTAGTCCTTCGGTCACGAGTTTGGTGAGAAGGGCTGGGGTCTGACACCGCAGTCGTCACATATTGGTGATAGCGATCATGGGATCGTCGCATATTGGTGGCAGCGATCCCGCGTCCATCACAAGTATGCCCTAGTAGTGCAATAAACCTCTTTATAAAGCAAAGATAAAATGACACACAATGCACTCATATGCTCTCGTAATGACACCAAGCTCTTCACACAACTGCGAGAATCCACCTTCAGAACCCCTGTATGGATGCCACTAGATGTAATCCACTTGGCTAAAGGTTGCCCTCCATTCCTGTGTGTTAGGAAAGAAAGAGAAGAGGGAGGAGCCAGACACAATAGCGGCTTGTGTATGACAGCCGCCAAGATTATGAAGGACTGGCAATCATTCAGTAGAGACAACAGACGCAGACAACATTCGGCACTCAGGCCACAGGTTGAGCATGCCTGCTTTAAAATATCATCTGCTGGTAAAATTAACAGACTTTACTACCAATTTAGATGTAAAGAGATCACTTTGATGAAAGTCTTACCAATATGTGTTAATATGTTTAAAAGCTTTTGTCCTGTGTTTTTTTTATCTATTTGTAATTATATACAGTACGTAAACAGGCCAGCCATATCTGCTCACCATATACAGTATGTGGCCTATGCTTTCCATTTTGCAGTGCTACACATTGGTTGTACTTTTCAGCTTCTTGTCACAATACAAGTTTGTAATTTAGTTGACTGTTTGCAACCAATGCACAACCTATGTGGTTATCACAACAGTTTATTAGAAAGACAGAGTAATTTCACTGAGCCACTTGTAACGCCCTCCAGGTTAGTTAGGTAGTTTTTTTTGTTAGATAGAGGCTGGATAGCAGCTTGAGAATCAGTCAGCCTGGGGATTAAGTCAGCCTGGGGAGTGAGGGTAGTGAGGTTACCTCAGGACAGGCTAGGAGGCTCTAACAGGTCAGGGCTTCTGAAGCCCTCACACCTTTCCAGAAACCTGAGAGATTTCTGGAAGAGGTTTGGAGTAGGTGAGGAGGCCAAGATTTGCATGTTTGAGGGGCCTTGGCCAATCCCCTAGCAGGAGGCTAGGCATGGTGACCAAGGCAACTCTCAAATGTGGCAGAGCCTGGGGGAAGGTGTGCAGTGTCGACTGTAAGATGGATTTAGGAGGGCTGGAGTGTGGAGCCAGGGAGGGGAGCCTACCTACAGGTAGGCCGCTGAAGAAGAGGATCTTCACTGCCGCAATGTTTTTTGGAGAGGACAGCCTGTGTACCAAGGAAGGAGCCAGCCCAGCATAAGGCCTGTAGGCAGCCACCAACCCACTAAGCTAACAGGAGAGGACAGTGTGAGTACGCTTACACCCCCCTGGGCTAAATAAGAAGAGTGGGAGGTCAGGTGCAATACCCAACTAGCTTCTCATCTGGGACTGTTCAGTTGGAAGCTCTTGGGCCCCCTTGCTTGCGGATACCTTCAGGCAGCTAGGAGAAGAGAATGAATCATCCAGGGTCTGAGGAGGTACAACTAAGAGCCTTTAGTGCTCTTCTAGGAGAGACTGTTGCTAATCTGTTGCTTTGTACATAGTTGCTTAGGAGTTGTCCTCAAGTCCTACAGTTCTTCAGGCAACACCATATACCCCTAGACCCTATCCAAGTTTAACCCCTTAATAAAAACCACCAAACCAAGCTCAAGGAATGTTTATTGACTTCAATGTGCAAAGTGTGAAAATGCGTGTTTTTCTGGCCATGCAGAGCATAGGGGGACCCAATTCAAATCCAGCAGCCACACACTGATAGGTCCTTCTACTGACTAAGTCACTACTGTACACATATCTCTATTGTTACTGTACAATAACAAAAATAAAGAAGACTAGGCCTATGTAATATGAAAGTCATACCAAAGTGCAATAAGGTAAACTCTAAAGTAATCATGCAGAATTTGTATGCGCTGAAAATTCATTATAATTTTCTTTAAGAAAAAAAAAGCTATACTGCAGTCAACCAAATACTGTCAACAACAGTTAAAGGAGGCTTCTACTCTTGTCAAAAGGTGTTTGGTGGTAGGAACTGTCTTGTGCCCACACAAAAGAATAAGATACAGACATGTTTTTTCAGCAATGGGTATTTCAGTGGCACATCAACTCCACATTAACTCCACAGTATGCAAGGATCATTGTAAAGTGTTCCATTGCCAGTGACTTCACAATGACACTGGAAAAATGATAACAGGAACCTGAGAGTCTTCCCTCAGATGTCAGAAATGTTTTGTGACTTGGCCAACTAAATGCAAATTGGTCACCTCCTTTAAAGTTTAGGAATATTTTTTTTTCAGATTTGGGCAGATTGGGGAAGGTTTAGAAACCCTGTCATGTTTTTATTGCTGTCTGTGTCACTGCTGGTGAGATTCACCCTCCCAATTTTACCTGGTAACCATTGTCACCATGACACAAATGATGGGAAATCCAAAATGTCCAGTGTCTCATGACAGCATTCTGAGAGCTATTACCTCACTTTGGAAAGATTTTCAACAATTTCCTAATATGTCTCCTAGACAGTAACTGCAGGACAATGACACAAGACACAGACAGCAAGAAGAAAAAGAAAACAGTAGAGTTTTAATAATTAGGGATCATACACTGCTTTGACCAATAAATACAGGTCACTGCTAGGGCACATAAAAAACAATTTTTTTTCAATGTGCTGTGTTCACACCGTAATGCAGGTATGGTGTGCATTGCTGTGCAGTGTGGATAACTGCAGCATGTTATTGCACTGCTGCAGTTAACAAAAAAAAAAAAGACAGATCAGCAGTGCAATGCACTGAAACTCCCTAATGGGGCTCACTCTGATAGATGTTCTGCATGGTTTTATTATCCTGACTAGTGTGAACCTGGCCTTTCTGTATCTAAAACAAAACACATTTGTAGAGCTATGCAGAGAGGTCCTATTTTTGACATTCACAATAAACTTTAACTTTTTTCCATTTAAAAGTTTGCTGTAGAACAGTGGTCTCTAACTTAAGGCCCAGGGGGCAGATGTGGCCCTTTGCTGGCTTTGGAGCACTATTTCATTCACTGATACCAACAATAGGGCATAATTCCCTCCACTGACACCAATGAAGGGGCATTTTTCCTCCCAATGACACCAACGGCAAGGCACAAATTCTCCCAATGACACCAACAATGGGACACAATTTTCCCAATGACACCAACAATGGGGTACAATTCCTCTCGCTGATACCAAAGATGGGGCATTGTTCTTTCCCATCAATCCCGGAACCTTTCCTACCCCCCAGCGACCACAGTATCTCCCCCCCCCCCCGAAATCTAGAGGACATTAAAAATTTGGAGAGCCCTGCTGCAGAAGACTGCCAGTGCCAAGATCTAGTGTTGAACATGTATGGCCAACCAAAAAAGAGATCTATAAACTTACAATGTGGTTTGTTTGACACTTCCTCATGTATTGAAATAGGAAGTAATTCAAGACTATTGGTAAGATGTTGTCTTTTCATTGTTTGGCTTCATTCACATGCTGGGACATATTATCAACCCCTGACAATTCAAAAAAATATTCCCATCCTCCTAACCAGGGCTTTTTTTTTCTCAGAGAATAGGTAAGTTACTTCTTGTCTCTGCCCCCCCCCCCGCTCCCTAACTCTGAGCACCATCCCTTGGCTCCACCCCCTACCCACCTGCTAGTACTGCTCTTTTTAGAGAGTACAGAGCCAAGTATCATTACCAGTATCATTGTTAATGATCACAAGAAAAGCAGAAAAACAGATCCCCTGCAGTCAGCAGCAATAGAACCACCCCCAGCAAAAATGGACCTTTGCAACAAAATACCACCCCATCAACAATAGACTCCAGCAACAACAACAGATCTCCCAGCAGCCATTATCAATAGACTGTCCAGCAGTCAGCAGCCTCAACAGTAGACCCCTTCCCTCCCAAAACATTAGACCCCTTCCAGCAACAATTGACCACCCAGCAACAAAAAATCTCCCACCAGCAACAATAGCTCACCCAGCAGCCAGCATCAATAGACCTTCCAGTACATCCCAGCACATCCAGTGCTGGAGGTGCCGGAACTGCGTTCCCCCCTGTTCCTGCTGAAAAAAATCCCTGCTCTTTTTCACAATTGCTGTGTCATTAGCTACCAATACCTTCTCATTTAGCTCATATATTTCATCTAATTCTTGCACACTGAATGGGTTATTACATCTACTTGGTGCAATGCATTAATGCTCCAATGCAGATTTTGGAGCTAATTTAACTGTTTGACTACCAAACTCTATTACACGTTAATTTCTATCACTACACCAAAATACTGATGGTCACTAATCATTCTCACATCTGTGGAATCAATACTAAAAAGTATTAAGTAAAAAAATAGCCTTAGATTATAAATAACAACAGTCTTCAACTTACATAAGTCTTGCCTTACCCAACAGGGACTGAAATTGGTTAATTTATTCAATTAAATC